GAGGGCAAAGCCAGCTGGCAGCTGATGTGGCATGTAAAGCTGTTGGAAACAGGCCACCTCTAGTGCCCCAGGAGGATCCTGCAATATACAATATTGACCATAAACTATTTTTAAAGATAAATATTGCTAGTAAAAAACATTTCTGGCCAGGCATGGCAGCTATTGGTGGGTTGTGATGTGCTATTCTAGCTCTTTTGGAGATGTCCAGGTGAAAAATGTTAGATTCTTATTTCCCAGTCCTCATGATTCTTTGTTTATTCCACCCTCTTACAGGTTTGAGATAGTCACAAAAAAGCACTTAAAAACCTGCTGACAGTATGACGGATCATCAGTTTCTATCACACCAATAAATGCTGGAGAAGTTGGCCAATATAACTTTGCTTTATTAGCTAAAATAATGAATGCTCCATATATATATATATGTATATATATACACACACACACACACAAACACACACCCTTTCTAAAAAATACGTTGTTTTGGTAACCACAGTCAAATTTTTTCAGAAAGTCATTTTAGGAGACTTTTGTATTTCTTTTATACATTATTGAATTATTGGGTATTGCAGTGGTTTGAATGTGTCCCCCAAAGTCCATGTATTGGAAATCTAATTGCCACTGTAACAGTATTAAGAGACGGGACGTTTAATAAGTGATTAGTTGATTTATTTTTAGAGGAAACATTTTATTTGTTGAAATATAATTTTTCCTTAACCATAAAGATATGTTTTATTTCTTAATAAAACTGTTGTAGTGAATCACCAGATTCCACTCTTCTGGAAAATCCACTTTTATTTAAAAACAAAAAACTTTGATTCTTGGCCATAATATAATAACTGGATTTTATTAGATTTTAAGAAATCCTCTATCCTTTTCTCCATCCCTCAGATTATTAAACTGAGTTCATAATTCAAATTTTTCTGCAAATCATCACTGGTTAAGTATATAAAAAAGCATGCCTTTTATCTGAAGTTGTCAGGGAATGATCAATTTTCCAAATAACTTTTTAAAATAAAACATTTGAGTCTTTCTAAAATATATTTAAGATTTTTGCAGGATTCTTCAATAGACTATATGTAACATAATCTCTTTTCCTGATAATTTGGGTAATATGAATTTAAAAAATTAGAAGTTTCTTGAGGAATGTCTGGTTGTATTTCTAAGACCTAGAATAGTGCTGTATGTACAGCAGGCCCTTGTATGTGTCGGATGCCTTCTTTGGATTGAAGAGGCTGAAAAGCACCTTCCCAGACACCCTTGCAGCTAAGGTTCTGGGTGTGAATTAAGTTCCACAAAATAGATGCACTCTTGTGAGATTTTGGAGGTTGAAGTGAGGCAGAAACCATTTTCCCTGCCATGTTTTAGCTGATTCTCCTGACAGCATCATGTAAAAGAGTTTTTTCTGAAGCAACATTCCAGAATCCATCCTCCAGATACGCAGTCTGGAGAGGCGGTGCAGTAACAGCAGCAGTGACAAATTCTTGATTTCGGCTTCCTGATCTTTGGATCACAGTTCATGGGGTATATTTTTCTTTATTGAGATATAATTCACATACCATAAAATTCGTTCCTTCAAAGGATATAATTTACAAGTTTTTAGTATATTCACAAATTGCAAGTTAATATATTCACAAGGTTGTACAAATATCACCAGTATCTAATTCCAGAATAGTCTCACCACCCCCAAAAAATACTCCATACCCATACTTATTCTCTACTCTCTCCTCCCCTCAGCTCTTGGCAACCACTAATCTACTTTTTGTCTCTCTGGATTTGCCTATTCTGGACATTTTTTATAAATAGAAACATACAATAAATATGTGCCCTTTTGTAACTGACTTTCTTCACTTAGTGTAATGTTTTCAAGGTTCATTCTTATTGTAGCATGTATCAGTATTTCTCTCCTTTTTATGGTTGAATAATATTCTATTGTATGGATAGATAATATTTTGTTTATTCATGTCTATCAATTGATAGACATTTGAGTTGTTTCCACTTTTTGGCTGTATGAAATAATGCTGCTGTGAATACTCATGGGCTAGTTTTTGCATAGACATGTTTTCAGTTCCCTTGGGTATACACCTAGGAGTAGAATTAATGGGTCATAAAGTAACTATGTTAAATTTTTTAAGGAACTGCCAAAACTTTTTCCAAAGGAGCTGCGCTATTTTACGTTCCCACCAGAAATGTATGACCCATCTAATTTCTCTATGTCCTCACCTATACTTGTTATTGTCCACCTTTTGTATCATGGCCATCCTGGTGAGTGTGAAATAGCATCTCATGGTTTTGATTTGCATTTCCTTAATGGCTAATGATATTAATCATCTTTTCATGTGCTTATTGGCCATTTTTATGTTCTTTGGACAAATGTCTATTCAAGGGGCATACTCTTGAACTCAAAGCTCTTGTGACAGCCTTGGAGGTTGGGGGTTCAATTGAATCCTGTTCTGGGAGTTATTCCCACAGGCACTTCTTCATACCAGCTCCTTTAGCCCTTCTAAAAATTCTGTAAATACCCAATTTTCTGTATTCAATTCTTTCCTGCTTAAAACATCTAGAGTGATTTTCTGTCATGAATTCTGATAGAGCCATCAAAAAATATTACTCAGAGGACATTTGCTTTGTTGTTTTGTATTTTACTGCTGGATTCTGGATAGTTGAGGTTGCTAGACAAGTTGCCTCTTGTTACAAACACGTTTGGTTGTGCATATGTACATTAGTTTTCTCTTGGTGCCATAACACATTACCACAAACTAAGCAGCGCTTAAACAACACACATTTATTATCTTACAGTTCTGAAGGTCAGCAGTCCAGCACAGGTCTCACAAGGCTAAACTCAAAGTGTTGACAGGGCTGTCTTTCTTTCTAGATGCTCCAGAGGAAGATCCATTTCATTTGATTGGGTTGTTAACAGAATTCAGTTCCTTGCAATTATAGGATTGAGATCCTTGGTTCCTTGATAGTTGTCAGCTGAGTTGTCACTAGAAGTCCCAACTTCTAGTGGCCAATTACATTTCTTTGCTGTGTTCTCTCTTCCTCCATCTTCAAAGCCAGCAATGGGAAAGTGAACTCCTCTTATACTTCAAATCCGTTTCCTTCTGTCTCATCTCTCTGACCCACTTGACTGCCTTCCTTTTCAAGGCTTGTGAAGATTTTAAAGATCCGGGTAATTAGTTTGGGCCTACCCTGATCCAGGATAATCTCTCCATCTCAAGGTCCTTAACCTTTCTCTCATTTGCAAAGTCCCTTTTGCTATGTAAGGTATGTATTCACAGGTTCTGGGGTTACAGTGAGGGCGTTTGGGGGTAGGAATGGGGAAAAGAGGTATTGTCATATCTACCTGATCTTTACTTTTTTTTTATTTATTCAGGATATTATGGTGATACAAACATTTTGGTAACATGTAATGCTGTTTGCCCTACCCAAGCCAAGGCTTCATCTTCACATTTTTAAAAACTCCAACTCAGAATTCATTTGACATTAAAACTTTAATGTCAGCTATTTCCACATTCAGATATAGCTAATTAATTTTTCAAAGTACTTCAAACAACTCATAACCACTAATTATCACTAATAATTATAACCATGATATGAAGGCACAAAATTAAGTACAGCTACCTTATGACACTAAATCCTCAGGATATAAAAGTTAATAGGACAAGTTTCTGCCACTTTTTCTTACACTGAGACACCTTATATTGAAGATGAATAAACGACCTGATATTTGTGGGGGGTAGGTGGGCGTAGCGGGTATTAGTTACGGTAGGTCGCTGGTAGTAATATATTTTTTTTTTGAGGACATGGAGTCTTGCTTTGTTGCCTTAGGCCCTAGGGGAGCTGGGATCTGCCGATGGCCGGTCCAGCCTTATGCTCACAGCAACCTCAAACTCCTGGCTCAAGCCCCGATCCTTCTGTCATCAGCCTCCCAAGTAGCCTGCGCGAGCTACAGCATTGGGGGCGCACGGATGCCCGCGCGCTAAGTTTTTTTTTTTTTTTTTTTTGATGTTAGGTTGGCCAATTAGTCTTTCTGGTTATTGGGTATAGTAGAACGGCCGTCTCGTCTTGCTTTTCAGGCTGGCTGGTGCGAGCTCCCGAGCCTCGGGAGCAATCCACCCGCGCCTCAGGCCTTCCCAAGCAGCTAGGCATTACAGCGTGTGAGCCACCGCGCCCGGCCAACACCTTATATTTTTAAATAGCACTTTACAGATTTACAAGTGATCTTACAGCCGTTATCTCATTTGTACTTTACAATGTCCCTTGGAGGCACACAAAACTCAGGAAGCATATTATTCCCTTTTTATAGATGAGAAAATGGAACTTCCGAAAGACTAAATAACCTACTCAAATATGGTAAGTTTAAACATTTCTTTCAGAAAAAGTAACATTTAAGTAAGAGGCATGCATGGAATAAACTGATTAATGGACAATATGCAGAAAATGAGCAGGTCTCAATCTTCACAGGGAAATGTTGACATTTTGATTATTTTTTAGAAATAATACAAAAACAATAAATAGTATTTACTGATTTGATCTTAAGGGTTCCCTTTGATAAGAACCAGGACTTAAAGCTTTTGTTTTTCAAGATTTTCCACACCATGAAGCTATGTTACCTTGCTCTTTCTTCTAAAATGTACAAAAAAGATACACATTTAGATAAAGGACGCTCTAAAGGGATTCTGCCTGTTGGATCTTGCCCCTTTTACTAGCATACAATAGGGAACAGGAGAGGATAGGGACAAGTATACAATGGCATGCAAAAAACAAATTTAAACAAGCCAAAAGTACATAAAGCCAGCACCTATAGCCATAATACTATTACACAAAAAGATGGCCCTTAGCCCTTTCAGATTGTATTCTGATTCATCAAACATACTGCAAGTTTTGTAATCTATGATTCTGTGATTTTTCCAATCCTGCTCCCCGTCAAGGTAACCATAAAAAATGAGAAAATAACTCTATATTTATCTGTATCTACCCCCACTATCTTCATTCTTTACCTTCCAGCTCCTGTTAAAGAGATAGGATGGTCAATCAGGTATTTAAATTTATTTCTTCTAATAGGGTTATGCCAGACATGGTCTATAGAGCGTGGAAGAGTACCCTGGGAAAAAGCAAAAACACATGAATATCCAGCAGAGGGTGGTCTAATCAAATAAAATCTTTTTTTTTTTTTTTTTTTTGAGACAGAGTCTCGCTTTGTTGCCCAGGCTAGAGTGAGTGCCGTGGCATCAGCCTAGCTCACAGCAACCTCAAACTCCTGGGCTCAAGCAATTCTCCTGCCTCAGCCTCCCGAGTAGCTGGGACTACAGGCATGCGCCACCATGCCCGGCTAATTTTTTCTATATATATTAGTTGGTCAATTAATTTCTTTCTATTTATAGTAGAGACGAGGTCTTGCTCTTGCTCAGGCTGGTTTCGAACTCCTGACCTCGAGCAATCCTCCCGCCCCGGCCTCCTAGAGTGCTAGGATTACAGGCGTGAGCCACCGCGCCCGGCCTAAAATCTATTCTTAATAGTTTTGAGCAAGTACAATATTTATATTAAGGACACTTGGATACTCTAAGGAAAAAAAAGAAAGTAGAATTCTTATTCAACAACAGAGAAAGACTAAAACTAGAACAATTCTACAGTAAATGAAAATTAAGACCGAGAGTAGTAATGATCATTTTAATAAATCTGTATAAAATAGGCTAATAGAAATACTCAAGAGTCTTGGAAATATTCTTTCAAAAGATTTGAGTTTTCAATCTAGGAAACTACTTTAACAAACGTTTTAAGGCTATCTGGAATATATATCATATGCTCCATAAATATTTAATGAACCAAATGCCAAAAAGATGTTCCCAGCTACTGTACATATGTATATACACACCTTTGGTGTTTTAATTTTCTTAGGAGGCAGTAAGTTTTCAGGACAAGGACCAGCATTAGCTGCACAGGTCAAAGAAAGAAGAACTTCCTGAGGAATGAACTCATTCTGAAGGGAAGTAGGAAGGGGTTTTGAACGATCCACCATATTTTTTTTCTCCCTTAGCTCAGGAAGTCCTAAGAAAGTAATGGAAAAGAAAAGCTCTTACTACAGGTTTTGTTGTTAGATGGAGTTTCCCAGACTGCCTCATCAATCCCATTTATGTTTCTTACAGAGAAACATTGTGTCTAGTTGACAAAAGTAACGAGTAATACTTAAAACACTGAAAATCGTCCAGTCAAGAGAAATAACACATATTGCCCACCCTACTCACATTACAGTTTCAAACAGTTTCAAACACTCAGGTACAAAGATGGACCTTCGTTATTCCAAATTTAAAGTTGAAAATCAAACTCACTTCACTTGCTCAGTTAACTGGGATACCCTTAAGATGGGAATGAATGTCTGTTTTCCTTTTGATGTGAAAATGAAAAAAAAAAATTTCATCTCCCCCAAACTGTCAAATTAGTAATTTTTCTTACATAAACGCAAAGGCGAGAATTTCATTAAACTGAGGCATTTTTAGAGTAGAAGGGATCTGAATTGGGTTTAAAAGTAAAAGCGGAACTGGGACTGTTGGAAAGGAAGAAAGTGGAACAATTTGAACAAATTGGTGGAATAAGAACCATAAAAAGAGTTTTCTATTCAGCTTGACTAGGACATAGGGGTTACAAAGGGGAGTTGTAGGGCTAATATAGGAAAAGCCCTTCTATGAAGTCAGTCAAGTAGACTTAGGTTATCATTGTCCTTAATCTATGCCCCTCACATAGTATGGTATACATACTATATAAGGAAGTATCATGTATGGTGGAAACTTCTTATGGTTTATATTACTAAATCAATCTCTGTCTCTCTCTCTCTCTCAAAAAGAACTAGGAAAAAAAAGGTTGGATGGGGCTTTATTACAATTTCCCCTAAACACAAGGTGAAGGTAAGGCTGGAGAAAGCTTCAGCATAATAGGGGTAGGGATAACACTAGTTGATTCTTATTCTAGTACAGATCTGCATTTATCTCTATAAGAATGAAAATCTTAAGGAATTACTCTCATTTAGAAAAATTACTAAAACAAATTGACATGTTGTACTAAATTGCATGTGTTTCTCTTATCTCCACTATTACGTTTTTAAAGTTCTTTAAAGTCAGAGACAAAAAAAAGTGCTGTTTCATACAGCTACTGGCATTTAAAATAGGATGAATTTAAAGCAATATACAATTCATGTGAAAACTGTATGTGAAAGAACTATAAACATAGTGGAGGAGTACTGAAACAGGACTCTGACTCAAAAATACTGTAAAAGGAATGGCTTTTGGTTTTATTAAATGTGTATTAGAAAAACAGCTAATTAAGGTATTCTAAATCTCAGATTAAGAAAAATGGTGAATGGACAGCGATTTCTGTCTGTGCCTATGAGTGTTCGCGTCTGCAGGATCCTTGAAGATTACCTCTTGTATCTTCCTTGGCTACAGATACTTTTGACTTTTTGCCCTCAGATGATGAGGCAGAGTTTATCCGTGTGGAGGGAGTTTTCAGGAGAGACATAATAAACACTGCCTCTTATCACTCCGGAAATCTCATTTATAAACAAATCGGCACCGTACCAGGACTTGCAGCCTGCCACATCGTCCTGCAGACAAAACAAAAACCACCGCCCAAAAGCAGGACACATTACGTGCTTGCGTTCAGATCGCAGTTTAGAATTCATCTAGCACGCTTTACCTTCATCGGAGAGACCCGAGTTCTCCCACGTCACCTGAAGGCCGGGCGCAGGCAGGGAGGGAGGGACACGCTGGGCCCGCCCCCCGCCGGCCCCGCCCCCCGCGCCTGTCCCGCCCGCCGCCGCCCCCGCCCCGCTGTCCCCCCGCCCGCCGCCCCCGTCCGCACCGCCGGTCCCCGCCGGCACCCCCGCCCGCCGGTACCGCCCGCCGGCCGCCCCGCCCGGCGCCCGCCCCGCCGGCGGCCGCACGCCGCCGGTCCCCGCCCGCCCCGGGGGGGCCCCGGGCCCCCCGCCGCGCCCCTGCCCGCCGGCCGGTTACCGCCGCCCGCCCCCCGCCCGCGGTCCTCGCCCGTGTCCGCCGCCCCGGCGCCGCCGCGACCGCCCGCCTTCCCCCGCGCGGTCGGCTCCGCCGCCGACCCCGGCCCCCGCGCCCGCAGACCCCCCGCCCCGGCTCCGGGCCGTCGGCGCCCTCTCCGCCCGCCGACCCCGCCCGCCCCGCAGACCCGCCGGCGGCGCTCGCTCCAGGCCGCCCGGCCCGCCGGGCCCCAGCGGGCAGCGCTGTCGCGCACGCAGTCCACAGACGCGGGAGTTAGGCGGGGTTCGCAGCGCTTCGTGCTGAAAAGTGACGGGAACGGATACCTGCAAACCTCTGTCCTGCAAGCCGGGTTTCGCGCCTGGCTTTCGGTCACCTCGCCCTTTCCCAGAACGCTCTTTGTCGTCATAGCAACCGAGGACGCGAGCCAGAGCAACCCTCGCGGGGCGGCGGCGGAGGGAGGAAGCTACGAAACTCTCTCGTAATTTCGGTGTGTTTTAAGTCCCGGCATAGGCTCAGCAGCAATAGGGAAGGAAATGCTTAATCGGGCCGTTGTCACAGAACCCAAACGCGTCAGCGTTCCGCGCTCGCGGCCGCGGCAGGGCCAGCGCGCAGGCGCCAGGGACGTGAGCGCGCGTGAAGGCTGTTCCCGTCTCTCCCTCACTTTTGTTGCTTTGCATGTTTTTCTAAAAGCCAAACTCAGGGGAAAACTGGGAATCAAAAACTCTCGAGTTCCCCTGTTGCATAAGTTACCCAGTCCTTGCATTGCGGGCACGTCTTCCCGGGACACGCAAACGCCGCTCCTCCGCGCGCAGAGGCAGGCATTCCGGGCCCCTTCCGGTTTTGTTTTTGCTAGAGGCAGGGAAGGAGGATCGCACGCTAGGCGCTACCAGCTCTGGTAAAATCGTTGCGTCTTCTTACGTAAAAACCTGCTCTCAGGAAAGATTTCGATCGGCCCATTGGCACTGAAGTGAGACCCGGATCCGAACTGCTACCGGGGATCATTCCGTATTAAGGCAGAGATTTAACATCAGATAATGATCACCGGTGGAATCCTAGCTTTTAGGTGCTTTACTCTTAAAAATTAATTTCAGAAGAGAAGAAAATTATTCAGTCGTCATATTCCTTAGTGCCATGTACAGTTCCTGGGCAAACGCCCTAAATAGGATGTTTGAAGATCAGTTGGATAGTTCAGTTTTGTGTTGACGGAATTAAGGCTCTGGTTTCCAGAGTAGTAACAGAAATATGGGCAAAGTGTTCAAAACAAAACCAGAACCTTCCTGCTCCCTTTGAACTCATCTAGTCATACATTTTGGGTGTCTAAGCATTTTAGCCCTCTCCCCTACCACCATAGCTTTTCAAAGAATTGAAATACATATATAGCATAATAGAGCACACACACAGTTCATTTTCAGTACTGGCAAACATCAAAACGAGAGATGAGCAGAAGCAAGGCAACGCACAAGCAGGTGGAAGGTCATTTTCCCCAAAGTTGCCTTTCTTCCTCCTCACTGCTGTCATGTTACAGTTGGAACCGTAACCGTTGATACTTAACTTCAGAGGTCCCCAAACACCAGTGTCAGTTCATACATGGCTCATCAAGTTTCTAGGTATGTATGGTAAGAAGTAACTCATCTTCTGCATTCCTAACCTAGTTTTTAGAAAGAATTTAGGGTGATAGAACAGACAGAAACAAGTGAACACATTTAAGATACACAGAAAGTAAAATCTATAGGATTTGGGAAATGACTAGATCTGAAAGGTTACTTCTCATTTTCTCTCCTGTGCAATGGTATGGTGATCATACATACCCTTTACTGAGACTGGGAACAGAGGAGGAAGACCAGGTTGGGGGGGGGGGGCTTGAAGGAGATTTAGGACTTGTGGACATAGTGAGTCTGCAGTACCATTTGAGACATCTGGGTGGAAACAAGAGGCAACTATTTTAAGTAACATATATATATGAAACTCTCAGCAAAGGTCTTTACAGTTGAAAATATGAGACATGAACAAGACTATTACAATAAGACCATCACTACTGAAAAATACAATTGCTGCATTTGGAGAAACCCCTAATTTTTAATTATACCAATGGAACCCTAAAATGTAGACAAGTAAAATACGATTGAGGTCTTTGATGGAAAATACTATAGCAAAATATAAGATGAGCAGGTAAAAATTTTCCTAAATAGGAAACATCAAGACATAGGGATGATAAGAGTCAGTTATAAGCAGGGCTAATTGTGCTTGTTGGTGTTGGCTGGTCTGTTGGCAGCTTGATACTAGGTAGCATTAGGGTCCCTCCAGGACTTCAGGTGGAGAAAACATTATCTCAGAAGTCAGTGTGATCACCAAACATGCCCAGAACTGGGAAAAAGGAAACAGCCAGTGTGCTTTTGCACCAAATCTTTTTACCAACTCATTTTCTAAGCAGGTGGGCAGGAATTGTACACACATCTGCAGGCACTTAAATAGAGCATACAAAGTGCCCTGAAGAAGTCTTGAGTGGGAAGTAGGCCAGTATTTGTACTTAAGAGGTAGCTAAAAAACAAAGAACCAATTAGCAATTTTTAAAAGGAAATCTAGGCACTGCTCAGCCAAATGCTTCACAAGGGAAAGAGTAGCTTCTCCTATTGTTTCCATACAAGGGTGTCCCTAAAACTGAAATGATGCTTCAGACTTAGTTCTGTGTCATTCAATTTGCACACGGGTGTGCCTACAGGAAAAATATGCTTTTGTCTTTTTCACGTTTATCTTCAGTGCATAGCACACCATCTGGCACATGTTATGCGGTCTGTGAGAATACATCTTTCTCATCATACACTAAGTTGGACTTCTACACAGAGCAAACTGTCATGATCATGCCAATCTCGCGTATGCTACTCCATGAGTGTTTTCTCACAATAAATGTACAAACTGTTGTACTGGTATTCTAAGCTAGATGCATGAACTTAGTTGAGTACAAATTCAAGCTATCCAAGCCTATAAACTTTTCATAAATTAATCAAGCAAAACTGTCACTGTGGCTTTGCTCTTAGTGGCAATGAATAGCCAACTGGCCCAAGAAACAGGGACACGTTTAATTTCAGAAGGGATTTCTCCCTACTCCTCTTGACTGGCAGAACCAGGTGGTATGTTATAGACAGACCATCAAGGGTAACTAGAGAGTAGCACTTGACTGTTGCTATGTCAAGTAGCGCTTGACTGTTGACATGCGCTTTTATGGGAAGAATGTTGCAATGTCAAGTATCAAGCATAATAGGTTCCTATTATGAGTAGATTCTTCAGAGAGAGGGTGTCAGTTTGTGCTACTATATATAACAGAATACATGAGACTGGGTGATTTACATAGAACAGAAATTTTGCACTTCCAGAGGATGGGAAGTCCAAGCACAAGGTGCCAGCAAGTCCAGTTGTTTGGTGAGGGCCACATTCTCCAGAGGGGAGGAACACTGCCCTTACATGGTGGAAGGAGGAAGGGCAAGGGGGCAAATGCTGTGTGAAGAGCTGGCCTTACTCCCATTTATGAAGCAGGAGCCCTCACGGCCTAATCACCTGTCAAAGGTGCCACCTCAATGCTATCACACTGGCAACATCAGACTTTTAAGAGAGAACACATTCAGACCACACATAACAGAGTGGAAGCAACCTATTTTGCTTCAAATCTGGCTTCCCCCAGTCTTGTCTTAAAGGCACATTTCCTGGCCAACAGATTTTTCACCTTTCATTAGAAACCTAAAGTCCATTTCTACCCACTGGAGCAGGGAGCAGCGCTCCCTGAGCTTCACTTACAGGTTTTAAAGGAGGCTGACGAGCCAGTGTCACTGCTTTTCTTGGTGCAAAGTAAAAACTGGGCCCCACTATTTCTTTGTAATCTGTAATACGGTTCCCCTCCATTAACCTGGACAAGAAAGTCCAGTTTTCTGCCTTCTCTTTTGGCCATATTGAGCTTATCAAGCTACCTGATATTAAGATGAAAACCATTTATGATCATGAACCACAGAGTTAATATTGAATACACTTGAAGTTACTTTTAAAAGTTTTTTTCAAATATATTTATTTATCACATTCTTCACATATGCAGTAATTTGCCACTTTCTGTGTATACAAATTTAAAAATTTTTAAATTAATGCTAATACAATACATACTAATCAAAGTATTGGGACCAGTGATTAGACAACAGGGATTTGCAGGACAGAATAGGAATTCAGGAAAACAGCAAACAACAATGAATTAGAAAAGATATCTTTAATTAAAATGAGAACCTTTAAAAACAACTTCAGATTTATATGACCTTTCTATTGTTTTCAGAACACTATGGATTAACATACAGACTGGAAAGACACAGGAACAGGAAGGTGCAGTTCTATCCCAAATGGCAGAGCCTTGAGTAGGGCTTCAGCTCTCTTCCCACCCAAGAATTGGCACATTTGCACATGGGAATCTATCTCTAAATGAGAGGGAGCATGACTGGGTACATGAACTGCCTGTTTCAAAGTTATTTAAAACAAACAAAGTATAGCTACTATTCATTAAGAAAAATACATCACAAAGCATGGTATACTATCTACTAGCTTAAAGTTTAGCACTCCATTGGGAAGGGCTAATTGACAGCAGAAATGTGAGCGTATTACTATAAATAAGGGAGCACTTAAGAAAAAAAAAGTAAAGGGAGTTTGAGGGTTTTTTTTTTTTTTTTGTAGATTATATCACTTCTGAAATTAACCCAGTCTCTCAAGTCCAAATTAGCTATTAAAGTCTTTATATTTTACCCAAAAAGGGAAAATTTTACTAAGGATTCAGTAGACTGTATAGCAAGGGTCCTCAAACTTTTTGAACTGTCCCTCAGACAGTTGGAGAGTGCGCACTGTGGGCCCAGGACAAGTCGGCTGCTTAGCAGGACAGGCAGCGATGGCAAAAACACCCAGTGGGCCAGATAAATGTCCTAGATGGGCAGCATGTAGCCCGTGGGCCATAGTTTGAGGACGCCTGATGTATAGGTTACATAGGTCTCCGCCTAACCTAAAGCTTATCAATTTTATTGTCTACTGATTTTCAAATGAGGCATTAAATTTAGGGTGGATAAAGGCACTATTCTCTCCCTGTTTTACCTAGAGCACCTACTTTTTAATCTCCTCTTGAAACTGGGCTTATATGTTAACATTTTATTTCAACAAAGGGTTCCAACATTGTATTATTACCTGATAGAAACTTTACTGATATTAACAAATCCTTAAGTAAGCTTCACTCAGAACATTCATTTTATTCCTCAAAACATTTATGTTCCAGTTACTACAGTTTGGGTCATAAACATAAAGCCTAAAGATACATATAAAACAATATCCAAGACAGATTTTTACCTTGACTGTATGTATAGTGTATACGCTGTCCCCAATCCCTGGGCCGGGTCAGTGCCCTGTTAGGAACTAGGCTGCAAAGCAGGAGACTAGCAACAGGCCAGTGAGCAAAGCTGCATCTGTATTTATAGCTGCTCCCCACTGCCTGTATCACCACATAAGTTCCACCTCCTGTCAGATCAGTGTTAGCATTGGATTCTCATAGGAGCACAAACCCTATTGCAAATTACACATGTGAGGACTCTAGGTTGCACACTCACGATGAGAATCTAGTGCCTGATGATCGGAGGTGGAGCTGAGGCGGTGACGCTAGTGCTGGGGAGCGGGTGCAAATACAGATGATCATTAGCAGAGAGGTTTGCCCACACAATAAATGTAATGCACTTAAATCATCCCAAAACCATCCCCTCCATCCATGGAAAAATTGTCTTCCATGAAACCAGTTCCTGGTGCCGAAAAGACTGGGGACTGCTAGTGTATACACACACACACACACACACACACACAATATAGCATTATGTGATATATAGTGTTACATAAATTACATGAAATTTTGCCCAAGATTAGTAAGCATGTCACTTAAACTTTGTTACAAAAGTATGGGCTATCTTCCATTAAGAAATCTATTCTGCCTTCCAAAATTATTTTTTTGTTTTTTTTGAGACAGAGTCTCGCTTTATTGCCCAGGCTAGAGTGAGTGCTGTGGCATCAGCCTAGCTCACAGCAACCTCAAACTCCTGGGCTCAAGCAATCCTCCTGCCTCAGCCTCCCGGGTAGCTGGGACTACAGGCATGCGCCACCATGCCCGGCTAATTTTTTGTATATATATTTTTAGTTGGTCAATTAATTTATTTCTATTTTTGGTAGAGACAGGGTCTCGCTCAGGCTGGTTTCGAACTCCTGACCCGAGCAATCCGCCCGCCTTGGCCTCCCAAAGTGCTAGGATTACAGGCGTGAGCCACTGCGCCCGGCCTAAAAAAAATTTTAGAGTAAGAATGAGCTTTATAAGATTTATAATTATGACAGGCTAAAGGCACCTAGTTTAATGTATTTATGCTTGATTTTCCAAGTCTACTCCTTGGATTAATCCAAGTCTATTAATTACAAAAACATATATACTCATAAATCTTTATTTGATTAAAATGAGGCATTTTCCTAAAGCATTATTGTTCAAAGATCTAGGTATATTTCTAAAAACATATACGTATATAAATAGCTTATATACGTAAGTTATTACGGTTGACAAATCATAATTTTCATACATAAATGAAACATATCTAATTTTAATCTTCAGAGTAACACAGTATGGTAGCTAGAGCAGACATCCTCTGCATTTTTACAGGTAACAAAATCAAGGCTTAGAAAGGAGAAGAGATTTGCCTCCTCAGTGTGTGAAACTGCACTTAAAGGACAGAATTAGCACTCAAATACAATCCCATTTCTACCATGAGATGCTGTCACTTGGTTAGATGGTGCCATTTCCTAATAAAAGCTGTAATTCAGAGATACCAGTGTCAACCAAGAAATTCAAGTCTAAGTACATTCTGCTCTAAGGAATATCCAAAGACGTGTCACTGATTAGAGAGACATAAATCCACAAAAGGTGTTTCTCCACTTTTAACAAAAAAACAAAAACGAAAAAAGGCTAGAGGGAGATTATTTGTTGGCAACGAGATTCATAAGAAATGATCCATTATTGGTGGATCATTTCCGCTGTTCCCAAGACTTCCATGCATTCTTACTTTGTTATCATATAAAATAAAACCCAGAGCAAACACATAGTATTAGACCTAGTACTATACATACTGGTTTCTAAGCAACACTATTTAAAGCAGAAAGGTTCTTAGATGTAAACGTCCCATAGGAAAACTGAAAAGATATTATCACCCTTTCTTCATGAGCAATTAAATACAACTTCTTCCAGCTGCATAATACTAATACTTTTTGGAAAAAAATCTCCATTTTCTTTCTTCTCTTCTCTCCTTTTCTTTCTTTCTTTCTTTTTTTTTTTTTTTTTTGAGACAGGATCTCACTCTGTTGCCCAGGCTAGAGTGCAATGGCATTATCATAGCTCACGGTAACCTC